TCCCTTTTCTCACTTCTAGCTACTCAAATGCAGATATTGTTTGAAGAAAAAAGAAAAAGCATATTTATACACTATTAAACTATATAAAATACATGGAGCAGAAAATCAACATTTATGACAAATTAAAATCACTACTATAACCTGTATAAAGTACACATTTTCTTGCGCTTCTACTCTGGACTTTACGGCAGCGCTTATTCTCCTTCATTGCTGATCGCAAAGAACAGATATGCCCAGATGATGCGATATTTGAGTAATTGTGTTGAACTAGAGCATAATTCCCTCCCTTCATTTTTGTGGAATATGCAGATAGAGATGAAACTTCCAGACGTAGTTTGAGTCGTTGGAGGAGAGAAAGAATGCGTCGAAAGTTTCGCGTGAACTTTCAAGGATGATTTTAATGAATTTTTGAATATAATGCAATCAGACTGTTTAAATGAAATCTGTTCATGTTGTAAATGTGTTGTAAATGTTCGTGAAATGTGTGCGCGAGTTTGCGATTAGCAATGAAGGTGAAAGGGCGCTGCAGTAAAGCCTAGTGTAAAAGTGCAAGAAAATTTAGGCGGCGGATAAGAGGTGGCTGCTTCACCGCGGCTCAAATGAAGGCTTGACCGTCACTTGACCGCGATCTTACAAAACACTGAAGCTGCACTGACGAGCTTTCACCCACTTATCCCTATAAAAGGTTTTGTTTCCAATTTTTGACTCCAAAATAAAATTTAAAAAAAATGCATGACACACGGCTCCGAGCTAAAACAGCGACAAACATTCAGAACATCCGGTGTATTTTCACACGCTAAGAACAAAGTTAAAAAAAAATACAAACAAATCACCGACACTTACATTTGGTGACAGCTGACCTGAAAACCACTGCCAACATCGCCCTTTGAACGCTGCAGAGTCCAGACCGTTTAGCGAGGCTGCATACAGAATCAATCATTCACTTCACCTGGCCCTCTGGACATTAGCCAGTTAGCTTTGCTAAAGCTAAGTAGTTATCAGCAGGGATCTTATGTGAGTTAATCGGTAGTTCACCGGTTATCCTTCGGCACAAACAGCAGACATACAGCGTGGCTTTACTTAACAAATGTTAACGCACAGCTCATTAAATGAACCCGTGACGTCACTATGTGAACTATAAACAATTCCGTAGCATTCTGTAGCTAAGTTAGCACTGGCGCTGCCGTAAAGCCTAGTGTAGAAGCGAAAGAAAACTTATGCGTCGGATAAGAGGCGACTGGCTTCACTGCAGATCACAAATGACGGTTCACTTGACTGTCTTCACTAAACAGTCTGGACTCTGCAGGGTTCAAAAGGCGATGTTGGCGATGGTTTTCAGGTCAGCTGTCACTAGATGTAAGTTTCTATAATTTGTTTGTATTTTATCCTTTTACTTTAATTGTTGTGTTAAGTAGTAGTAAAACGTATCAAAGCGTGTGAGGATAAGTGGGTGAAAGGTCGTCAGTGCAGCTTCAGTGTTTTGTAAGGTGCAGGGCTCACTTTGTGTTCTTTAATTTCACCCCTATGAAATATAAAGAGTCTTTTCAAAAACCAACCAGAAAACATTACACAGCTTCGAGAATACACGACTGAGGCAGGCTGGTCCAAATATTAAGATACCTTTATTAACTGCATTTGTTAAAATAAAAAAACTAAAAAAAAAGAACAGAGCACAATAAAAGTTGACTGTGGCACGGCCTGTCCTGTAATACTATCCTAAATTAAATAAAACCACCATACATTGAACTGGACTTGCCAGTAGCTAAGAACCATGAGAGAAAAAAAATCACACGTGCTGTACAACAAAAGTAGTGTGGAAAACGACCCATAACCGAAGGTCCCACAGATACTGAGTATCCTCAATTCACTGCATTTAAAAAAGTGCCACAAATGTCTAATAGGGCACTTAACATCAGACGCATTGCTCACAGTCAAACTACAAAATGCACAGACGATATTTGATCCCAGCGCACTCCAAACAGGAATGACGCTCTCTATGACGAATGGTACAAATCAAATGTGCAGGTACAAATGTCACTGTAAACAATCACCAGAAAACGTAAAGGATCCCCAGAGTCTGGCTACGTGGTCAAACCAAATATAAACAGTGTCACAAAACTGTAGACGGTACAAGACAGCAGTTCCTTAAAGGACGGGGCCAAACGGCGGCTGCTGCAGACGTTTCCCTCAGCTTGACTGGGCCGAAACGATCAACACTGCCCGCCGAACAGAGGCTACAGCGGGCAGCAATCAAATCCCAGCCGGTAGAAGGGCAGCCGCCCTCTCCAAAACGGCAGGAAATAAATACACGGCCACTCTGTAACTGTACAGCCAGAAAAGTACAGTTACACTCACAAATAAATGGGGAAAGCTTCTCTTATTCTGATTCTGATTCTTCTTCAGATTGTTTATTGGTGGTTGACAAACAACAAAATGTTGCATTACCGCCACCTACTGGTGTGGAGTGGAAATGTCAAAAATAAAAATCCATTCAAATCTTCCCAAGCAAACCAAAATATGGGCTGATAACATTCACTTCTCAAGTTCTTACGAAATAAATCAACCAAGTCCACTTTCATATCGCCAAGCTTTTTGATTAATTGTCTTCTTTCAGCATCATATTTCTAACAGTGCAATAAAACGTGTTCTGTTGTTTTCTGTTCTCTGTTGCAGTCACACTCTCCTTTGCTGTGTTTTCCTATTAAAAACAATGCGCTATTCAAACCTGTGTGCCCAAATCTAAGTCGAGATATAACTGTCTCCTCTCCCCTGTTCCTTCCTGTGCTTCTCATTTCTCCTATTTTCCTTTGGATTTTGTAAAACCATCGCCCTTTCCTCTCTTCCTTCCATTGCTTTTGCTACCTTTCTTTCATTTTGTGCCATATTCTGTTCTTAATCTCTGTCCCACTAACATTTCCACCAACGGTCTCTTTGTAGCTTCCTTTGCTGTTCTGTTTGCCATTTCATTTCCCTTAACTCCATGATGCGCTGGTTCCCATAAGAAGGTGATTATAAGTCCCATCTCAGTAATTCTGCATAATGTTTAAATCTTCTTTTCTTCTTTTCATTTTAACGGCAGCTTGCATCCAACAATAATGCACCGCTGCCATCTCTTGGGTTATGCTGCTACATAGTTAAACATATATGATCAAATAATGTTGAATCCTGGATATGGATTTGTAATCAATGAAATTTGAAATAAGGGGATAGGAACAGGTAAAGTGTAAAGTTCATCCTACAACTTTTCGAGCACTCACATTCTGTAGACATAGATATATACATGAAAACTTGATGATTTTTAAGGTTTGTTTTTTGTTTTTTTCTCTCGTTATTTCAATTATATTTGCATGTTCAAAATAAAATTCTATCATTTCCATTTGCTTAAATCTTCTTAATAAATCCAGTATTTCTCAAAAAAACGAAATATGTGTTCTTTCCCTTCATCATGATTTAACTGAGTAACCACATTTTCAAACTTGAATTCCCTATTACTACACATTTCTACACTCAGTATTCTTCTTTATTAATAATAATAATAATACATTTTGTTTGAAAGCACCTTTCAAGACACCTAAGGACACTTGACAATAGAATAAAACACATAATAGAACAATGACAATGAAGAAAAATAAGAAAACAAAAGCACAAGGTAAAATAAACAAACAATAGGTTCACAGTTAATATGCAGATTTGAATAGATGGGTTTTGAGTTGAGATTTAAACTATGGGAGAGAACCAATGTTTCTTTTATATGGGGGTAGAGAGCTCCACAGTCTGGGAGCAGAGCAGCTGAAAGCTTTGCTCCCATGGTGGTGAGGCGAAAAGAAGGCACAGAAAGCTGGATAGAAGAAGAGGATGGAAGTGAGCAGGTGGAAGAGATAGTGCTTCACAGGTCCGAAAGATAGAGAGGAGCGAGGTTATGAAGGGCCTTGAAGGTGAGCAGTAGAAGTTTGTACACTATCCGGAATTTCACAGGGAGCCAGTGAAGTTCCAGGAGAACAGGGGTGATGTGCTGGTAGGAGGGGTTCTGGTGATAATGCGGCAGAAGAGTTTTGAACCAGTTGAAGCTTATGGAGGGATTTTTGGGGGAGACTGTGCAAGAGAGAATTACAGTAGTCAATACAGGAGGTAACAAGACTGTGGACAAGAATGGACGTAGACTGGGTGGAAAGTGAAGGACGTAATCTGTTAATGTTGTGTAGATGGAAGTAGGCAGAACGGGTGAGATTATTGATGTGAGATTTATAGGATAGTGAACTGTCTAGGATGATGTCAAGGCTCTTAACCCGAGGTGAAGGGAAAACTGTGGAGTTATCGATAGTGAGTGAGAAATGGTTAGCCTTCAGTAGGTTGGATTTAGTGCCAATAAGGAGGATTTCAGTTTTATCCTCATTGAGCTTGAGAAAATTAGAGCTGAACCAGGATTTTAATTCGGATAAGCATTCTGTAAGAGAAGAAGGTGGGAGGGAGGAATCAGACCTGCAGGAGAGATATAACCGGGTGTCATCGGTGAAACTGGGTGTCAAAGCAGTGAAAATGAAGATCAAATTTACGGAAAATGGCACCAAGAGGGAGGATGTAAATTATGAAGAGAAGAGGGCCTAAGACTGAACCGTGGGGTACACCAGAAGTGACTGGGAATAGACAAGAGCGGAATGATCTTAGTTGAATAAACTGGGAGCGGTCGAGGAGATATGATTGAAACCAGGCGAG